CCTGTCTCCTCCGCTGCTCCCCTCGGCAGTGTGTTTCGGTCAGTCTGACTGTTCTGTTCTCCCCACCCTTCTTGTGAATCCTCTTACCCCCTGCATCTCTGGCCTTGTACCCCAGCTCTTGTAAGCATAAATAAATAAATCTTAAAAAATATTTTTAAAATGTTAAAAAATAAACTAAAGTAGCAATAAAGAAATATCAGTTAAATTTTTAAATAGATTTTTAAGTTAAATTCCATATGCCCACTATCATATGCTATATAGTGCTCTAGCCATTGTTCAAACCTTGTCATAAACTGAATTTCCTTGAATTTCTTCATAGAGTTGTTTTTTATCGTTCTGTGGGGAACCTCTTTACAGTGGGAAACAAATGTGTTTTTATTGCTGTCATGGACTTGAGTTCAGCTATCCAGTGGACAGGTGACAATTTTTTAAACATTTGCTGACTTCAATCAGAACAACTGAGACAAAAGTAAATTTTTAAATCATGAATCAAAATTTACAAAACCAAATGTAAAAGAAATTTGAATGATTAAATGTTCAAATGTAGGAAACTATCAGGGATACCCTGTCTTAAACATTAACAGTTGTGCGGAAAACTCCGCTTTGTTTTACCTTTGCCCTTTTGCCCCAAACTTTGTGCTTTTTCCTCCGCCCCCCAATTTTCCTTGAATTGACCAGAACCTTTCCTAGCCTGCTTTGGGGCACAGCCAATTCCCGACCTGCGGTGGATGCCGCCCCGCTCAGCGGCAGCTGGGCTCAGGGCAACCAGCCCTCCATCTCTGCGGTTGGATGTGAGCCGCGAGGTGCCGGGCTGCGCGGCTCTGCCGTTGCCTGGCAACAGATGCGGGCGCCGCAGGCAGCCCTGCACTGCTCTGCCCGCTCCCCCACAGCTCCGCCCCCGCCACTCCAGGTGAGCCAGCTGGGACTCTGCATTCTGATCCCATGGCTCAAAACCAAATGAGCATCAGCTTCCTAGACCCGAGGAGGAAAAGGACTGGTGACTGTGTTAAAGGAGGGAGAGAGGAAGGGGTGGGAGGGGCATGGAGGAAAGAAAAAAGAAAAGAAAAAGAAAAACAAGGAATAAAATGACTTGAGCAAGATTGACTTTACATTCCTTTTAAGAAATGTTGCATCACTTTATAAGGACATTGCCCTTGCGTGTTATCATTGCATCGTGGGACACACTGTAGGTCATGCAGATACTGCAGCCCAGTTACAGAGTTTACACACAGATGTGCCTCTTATTCACCCCTCTAAGCTTCTGTAAAATAATAGTGACAATAGTTCATTTTTGGTTATTAAAATACTAAATCAGTTATTCCATGGGTAGGATTTAGCCCAGTGCCAGCAATCTTTAGATAAGTAGTAGAAGCTATTTTGCATGAATAAATTATCATTATATTATCTACACATTAACTTTCTGGGCATATTATAGCAGGTTTTTCATCATATCTAGTCATTAAGTTGCACTTGTAAAAAGTATATTTAATTTCTTGATCTCAACAAGTGGAAACCTTTTGCTGTATTTTTAGGATAACTGAGTATTGGGCTGCCTTAAAAGTATAGTTTCTGGGTTCTAATTCTTAATTCTTCATTTATAAGTTTTCGTGGGTCTCTTTTTGTCCACTTTCTTCCCATTAACAACTTATACAATCCTTGGCATTAAAACAATTGACAAATCTTTATAAACATTCCACTATGTTACATTTTTTGCTTGCCTTCTGACGGCCCCCTTAGCTATAGTCCAGGCTGGTAGATGTAGCCATGTGTGAATGTGTGTGGCCATTTACACAGTGTGGGCCTGACAATGGTCCTAACATAGTCTTCTCCACAAAGCCAGATCTCTCCCTCACTCCCATACAGTACCATACACTATGATGCTTCTGCTTCTGAGGAGAAGAGTAATTTATTTCCTTTTTTAAAAGTAGTCTTATTTTCAAAATAGTACTAAACTGGAGACATAATTTATTAATTTAAAATCTGAGAACCCAAACTGGGAACAGAAGCTATCTTTGCCTCAAGGATTCAGGCATCCATTCAATCCTGTTTCTCCAGGCAGCTCCTGAGCCAGGCACTGAGCTAGGCACAGGGGCTAAGGGCAAACTCAGCCCCTGCCTTGTGGAGTCCAAAACCCAGTGGAGTTTTGAAAGAGCTGTTTGGGGAGAGCAAGCAGTTGGAAGGATGGCTGGAGTTTATATCACGGCAGTGGGAGGACCATGCCTGGAGACTTGTATGTGGTGATATAGTGACATGGTCAGATTTTGTCACTGTGGCAACATAGTGATTCAAAATCCAAACTAGATTCACAATTGAAGACCATGACAGTGGACAGGACAGGACAGCTGTGTTGGAAACAGATCCACTGGGACACAGTGGCTTTGGGAGTTTGCATGAAGAAAAGGAAGTCAAGGATGACTGACTTGTGATCTGGAGAGCCAGGGGTCTGAGTCACATGGAGAGAGAGAAAAGGAGCAGGTTTGAGGAATGGGGGTGGCCGGGGGAAGCAGGGGGTGAGCTCTGTCCTTACAGACAGTGTGAGGCATGGAGGTGGCAGTGGACTTGGGGACTGTGGTGGACAAGAAGCTGACTGCACTGGAGATCAGACACAGACTGTCAGAACTGTGTGCACAGAGTATGGAGGATATAGGGAACCCCGCCAGGAGCGTGTGTGCCTAAGAAGAGGAAGGCTGGGGAGGTGGATCCACTCCCTGAAGGAGCCAAGGTACACTAGAGTGTGAGCAAGAAATGAAAACAGCCATGGAGTGGAAAGCCAAAGGACAAGAGAGTCTCTAGGGGATCAGAAACCAGCTCCACAGAGAGGTCCAAGAAGCATGGTTTAGCCCCTGGGAGGCCAGTAAGGTCGTGGGTGGGATATTTTATGTGTAGGAAGAGGGCCCCAAGCCAGGGACCATGAGCTGAGATGTGAGCAGGAAGTAAAGAAGAACAGGGAGATCAGGTTCTCTTTTCACTCTTGACCATGGATGGCAGGAGGAAAATTGATGAAACTAAAAAAGGTGCGCTCAGATTTAATTGGGGTCTGCCCAATTAATTGAATGTGAGCTCTTGAAGAACAGGCCAGTAGAAAAGGGAGAGGTTGGTAAAGAGGGGAGAGGCAGAGAAGTAAAGTGAGTTCCACCAAGCCCCTGGGAGCCAGGAGCAGAGGCTGGGCGGCCCTGTAGGAGCACCGCTGGGGATGACATTTGCTCTCTGTGAAAGCGAAGGCCAGGCTCAAAGAGAGGGGGATATGGTGGCTTTGGAAAAAAAGTGAGGGACTTGAGGTCTGAGCCAGCCAAAGGGCTGGCTTGCAGCAATGCAGCAGAAATGATCTTGTCCAATGCTCAGTGATGGTTGGTTCCCCATGACTCCTGTCCCTTCACTTCAGTGGCCCTCTCTCCACCACGTGCAGCCGTGGGACATGCAGCGCCCCCACCTGGGGTGGCTAGAGCTACAATAAGGGACCGGAGGGGCCTTCACACTCTGACAATACGGGAGAAACACTGGCCAGTCGCTTGCCCTCTCTTTGCTGCTGGGCTGCTGTGCCAAGTTCGATGCCACAGTGCCTTCTAGAAAAGTAGTAGAGCTGTTCAGAGAACTCCAAAGGAGAAACGGGGGCTGAGGTAAAGACAGAAGGCAAGGGAGGCGGCGGCGTGGGTGCGCTGGAATAGTCTAGAAAATGAGTGCAACAAAGGCGGTGTGACTGGTGAGCCTCTTACAGATCCTCCTCCCTGATAGAATATGCATGATCCTGCTCGAGTCCTCGCCTGCCTGCGAGCAGGGAGGCGTCGGAGGGAACGTAGGGGAGCGCACGCCCAGACCCACTCTCCCGGGCTCGGGGTGCGAGAGCGCACGCGGCCGCGGTCCGGACCCCACGCGGGTGAGCCTCCCGCGGGTCGGGCTCCTGGAGGTCAGTTCCCTGCCCCTCCGACCCAGTGGGCGTGAGCGCCCCTCTACGATCCCAGCCCCGCCACCCCGGAGCCTGCCAGCTCCCCTTCCCTCCACGCGGAGACCCCGGGGGGGCGCAGACCCGGGAGGGGTGGTGCGAGGGCAGAGCCCGCGCGGGCGAGCTGCAGGTGCCCACGGTCGCCTTTGACGGGACCCGGCGGCGCGCTCCATCCCTCTGCGCAGCAGACGGTCCCCACCGGCGGGACCCCCGGCACCCGGCGGAGCGCGCCCTCACCCCTCGGGGGTCCAGACTGCGCGCCTCGGGCTGCGCCGCCGGGGGCGGGGTTGAGGGCACCGAGCTCCGCGAGGGGCGCCGGGCGCGCGGGGGACGCAGCGCCACCTCGGCTGACTCCAGCGCACCCCTCGCCCTAGGGCCAGCCCCGCTCCCTGTGTGTGATTTACGCCGCAGATCATTCTAAATAGTTATCTTTAAAAAGCATTTTGACTCCGAGCGTCTTCCTTGCATCCTTTTTAGCTGGGAGTTGGCGGTGGGCAGAGGGAGGGAGACGACACGACTGCTCTGATCGGAACACACCGAGACCAGACCGGCTCTTTCAGCAGCTAGGAAGAGAAGACGTCACAGGAGCCACACACATCTGCACATTTTGTGCCCATTCCTAACGGTGCCTGACGTCCAGCCAAGCGGGCAGGCATGGGGTGTTTGGGTAACAGCAAGACCGCCGAAGACCAGGGCGTCGACGAAAAAGAAAGACGCGAGGCCAACAAGAAGATCGAGAAACAATTGCAAAAGGAGCGCCTGGCTTACAAAGCCACTCACCGCCTGCTGCTACTGGGTAAGGGGCGCGGTGGCCTGGGCCCAGCGGAGCGCGAGCCGGGAGCCGCCGGCGCGAGGGCCTGGCGGGCAGGGCCGGGCGGGAGCCTCGCGCGCCCTCGCCCCGCTGAGCCACCGGGCCCTGGGTCTCCCGCCGCCCCAGCGCAGAACTGGCTCGTGCTGGAAAACGACTGAGCAGGGGTGGGATTATTGTTCAGTCTGGGTCGATGTGAAAGGGCAACGGTATCATGCTGCAAATCCCAACATTCTTTTTGTTTATTTGTAGGAGCTGGTGAGTCTGGGAAAAGCACTATCGTCAAACAGATGAGGATCCTGCATGTAAATGGCTTCAATCCAGAGTAAGGAATGATCATTATCAGCTTTTGCTTCCAAACTGCTTGCAGCTTTGTCACTTGTCGCCCAGTCTTCCCAAAAGTGCTTTCTTCTGAACAGTTAATTTTGGTCGTTAACTAGACCTTTAACAACAGAAATTTGTTGTTGAATGTGTTTTAATTAGACAAAGTCCTTTTCAATTAATGTCTAGGAAAATATTAGCAATTTGTTTAACAAAGTATGATGTTAGTCTTCTCTCCCTGTCATTTATCCGCATTTATTCCAATCCATAACTATCAACATGGATATATTAAAAAAATAATTTACAAGTATAGTTCTGTTGTTTTTCTTCTGCCATTTTTGTGTAATCTCTGTGGGTACAAATTAGAAATGGGTGATGTTTTCCTTTCCTGAGTAAAAACTTTGCAGTTCTTGCAGCTTTGCTGCTCTTGAAGCTCTAGTAAAATCAGTTCAACCCTATGCTGCAGCTGGAAATTTAAAAACCCACTTCATTGATTCAAGTCAGTGCTAAAGGTAAATTAAATTAATAGCAGTTCTTTTTTAATGCAGGGAAAAGAAACAGAAAATTCTGGACATCCGGAAAAATGTTAAAGATGCTATTGTGGTAAGGACTTTTTTGTTTTACCAGAAAGGTAAAACTGTGTAGATTGAACTGCTGTATTTTAGATTATCATATATAGAGCATAACTGTTATCTTTATCCACACCTTTTTCTCCTTTATTTCATTTCAGACAATTGTTTCAGCTATGAGTACTATAATACCTCCTGTTCCACTGGCTAACCCAGAAAACCAGTTTCGGTCAGACTATATCAAGAGTATAGCCCCGATCACTGACTTTGAATATTCCCAGGTAAGTAAATCTTTATTGTAATACTTAAATGGTGCAAAATGAACTTGCTTACTGAGCGTCAATGTTAATTCATTATTTAACTTTCTTCAAAATCTAACTCTCTGCTTAAAAGAAATGGTTTGTTTATACTGAAATATTTGCGTTTGTTAAAATGTTAACATTAGAATTGTAAGAAAGGCTTCTGTGAATGTGTTGGTGAGGTTAATTATCAGGAAGACAATAAGAAATATTGATGGTATTTTCGCTCATATGTATTTCTGAGTTAATAATTAAGCATTTTCCCAGATAAAAAGAGTAAAGAAATAGTTCATGGTATAGGGCTGCCTCCATGGAAATAATAGGAAGAAAGAACTCAATTTATTTTGAAGATAGCATCTTTCAGATCAAACAAGAGGAGAATGCATGCTTTAATAAAAAGACGTTGTTCACTTCTGAATGTCTGCTGTTTGATGTATGATGTAGTTGCTTCATACCTGCAGTGTTTGGAGCTGTTTTCCTAATCACAGGGATGGCAGTATTATTTATGCAAAAAGCTGATCTGAGTACTGGTTTTCTCTCATTTGGTGGATATATATTTCTTTAAAATGCTGTTTAAGCATGTTTTGATTAAGCGTGTTTCAAAGGCAAATGTATTTGCTAACTTCTCAGAAAACAAGTCGTGTTATAGCTGACTCTGTGTGCGTGTGCATTTACTGTGTGTTCCTATCAATCACGGTGTTTCAGGGTTTTCACTACCTGGCCAGGTGAAATGTTTTTCATTCTCAAAATGCCCTCTGGGAAGGAATATACACAGAGCCCAGGGGGTCGAACAGGCAGGCCATCCCTGCTGACTGAAGTACAGAAGGTGGCATCACGCTGGCCTACCTTCTCTTTAGCAAGCTTTGGTGTCTACTCTAAAGGATCTGTATCCAGATGGCAGATAATAATTACGTTTTTTTTATAGAAAAACTATTATTTGCATCCTCTTCTGTGGTTTTTACTTCTGATGAGTATGCCAGTGCTGCCAGTGAAATCTCTAGAAATTGTAATAAGAAGGAAGTTGAGGTAGTGAACTGACTGGAAGATGGAGCTGAGACATTTAACATAGCAGGCACATTATTTTTTACTAAACTGTGACTTTAGTGGGATGACTTGGAGGGGTTTAATGGGAAAAAATGCGGAGGGTAAGCAGTACTCCACCAGCTAGAGCTATTGCCACACTCTATGATAGTGTACATATTGCAGAAGTCACCCAAAACTATAAGGTCCTAGCTGAAATTTTGTGTGGCATTCCCATTCAGATTTTGACTTACACATTTATAGACACATGTTTGAGTTCTTAATTTTATATGGTCATATTTGCCTAAAAGTTATCATAAAAGAATCTCAATGTGGTTCTCGTTTAGGAAATAATTATTCTTGACATATAGTGAGAAATTAGGATAAAGATGTATTAATCCATCACACAAGTCCTTTCTTCTGTTTATGACAAACTATACAATGATAAGGGAAACAGTAACTCCCACATGTATTACTACAAAGGACTCTAAAGCATCTAAGTTGCCCAAGCGTTTTTGAACTAAAACATGAATAGATTTAAAAAAAAAAAAATGAATAGTTTTAATAAAGTAAAAGTCAAGAAACCATTTTCTTTGAATTCACATATTTTTATGTTAAGATGAAAGATACATTATATGTTAGATGTGAAAGATATGTTAAGGCTACTTGAATATTATTTTCAGAACCCATAATTAATTATCAATAAAATAGAAGGAAATTGGGAACCAGCAGAATCTGCAAATGTAATTATAATGTTTCCAGAAAGCATTTTTGGTAGTTTTAAATCTTAATGTTCTGTTGTCATATGTGTCTATGTTTATGTTAAATGTGATTGTTTGTTTATAATAGTCACATATAAATGAAACAATTGATATTTTATATAACTTTCTGAAAATGCAATTTTATATCAGTGAATTATATATATATTAATTTGCACACAATTTTCATTTACTCCAGAGTGATGTGAAATATTTACATCACTTATGTTATTAGATTGTGTTACTTTGATTAATTCTAAGAATCCTATCAAGATAAATTTCTCACTTACACATTAGTTAACACTTGGTGCATTGAGAGAAAATTAACCTTTATTTAAAGATGTGTTTCTGTAAACATTATAAAAGTGGGACTAAATGAGGTATTTTAATAGTAAACATAATACTAATGTACTAAATATAATACATTTTTAAGATCCAATCCTAGAGGAAGCCTTTCATTGTCCCAGTCTAATTCCTTGAGGGTATTAAGTTTACTTTCCTAGAGAGATAAAGCATTTTTGAACCAAATATATTTTATCATTAAAAATTAATTTTAAAATAAGAATATTTTAAAATTCTACATGAGATTCCTCTTTATAATAAAAATTCCAAACTTATCTTAGTGTTATCTTAAGAATTTCCTCTAAAAATATCACACTTATGTTTACCTTTGTTCCTTTCCTCTTTATATTGCCTTTTGAATTTCAATTGAATTATGGGAAACTTAAGTTGTAATAGAAAGAAAGACCCAGATTTATACCGGATAGCATTTTTTAAAAAGGAAGAATAAGGAAAGAGAAGACACATGGCTGAGACATGTGCAGTATTTAATTCATCCTCATAGATTGTGATCTATTCATTGAGCTCAGAGTTGCTAGTGTGGTTAGAGAAAGTGTTAGGGACAAATGTCCTGGTCTCTTAGGCTGGTCTGTACTGACCTGGGAAGACTTTGGAGCATCTGACAGTGGAATTATGAGATCTGATTGGTTTTGTATCAAGATCACTCTGACAGTGGGTGAACCGACTGCAGGGAGGCAAGGCTGGAAGTAAGGCAACTGTTTCGGATGCTGGTGTACAGGTAAGGGCAGTGGGTATGGGGTGGTGTAACTGATTGACAGTTACCTCATTACAGTTTTGCTCTCATGTATACACCCAAAACTTAAATTATCTTTGTGTTAGACCCAGGAGGCCCCCTCTGGTTAGCACACGTCTTTATATCACCCATGAAGTGATAGAAAATAATTAGTCTTAGGTGATGACTTGACAGAATGTGCATCATTTAAGCTTTTATAAAACATAAAAAATATTGCAGTTGTCCGCCCCACCTCCCAAAAAGCTGTTAGCATAATATCAAACAAAGTTATTTGTGAATTAAAATAAATTATTAATTTGTTTGATTTTTTTCTTTGTAAAATGCAGATATTTTATTGGCTCTGTTACAGTTGTGTTTGCTAGCTTTTTAAGAGGAACAGAATAAACAAGACTTAAGGAGAGACAGAAAATGGTGTGATATGCCAGGCGGTGTTCTGACTTCACCACCTGATATTTCCTGAGCTGATGTTTTATCAGACCTGCATGTTAACATAAACCCAGAGGGCAGGAATCACTGGGTGAGGCCCCAGAAACTCAGTGCAGTCCTGTGTAAAGATGTGACCTCTCGCAGTGGCCGCCCTCAGGAAAGGAGGAGCGAGGGAGGCTGGGGCAGGGCTTCCTGAGCTGCACTGAGGAGGGCGACCCCCTCATCCATGGAAGCTGCTCCTGCCCGTGTCTTGTACTGTCTCCTCTGGGGAAAGTTTGTGAAATTCTGGAGTCCACATCATCCAAGCTAGTGGTCTTCCTTGTGTTTTTTAACCACTGAGCACTCTCACCCCCATCCCAAAGTGTCTTTGAAGCCCACTATGTAAATCGAGTGAAAACTATGGTCCCTGGGAACCCAGTCTGTGGACTCTACCTGAATCCCCATTATCTATCCCTGTACCCCATCAGAGAGCCCCTGGGCCCTACCAGCATTGTCAGAAAGTGGCAGCTGGCTGTATTAGCTCCTGGGGAACATGCTTCTTCCTCTCTCCATTCCCACCCTTCCCTCCCCAGATTCACTCTTTCAGGTTGTATCAGATTATACCTGAAAACCTCTCTGTGTGCTCATCTACTTAAAGTCTAATCAGACTCGGGCCTCCCCGGTGGCGCAGCGGTTGAGCGCTGGGTTGCGAAGCTGCCTGCAGCCTCTGCAGCGCCGGTTTGATCCCTGGCTGCTCCCCGGCCACCAGAGGAGGGTCCCACATGGCGCGCAGACCTCTCCTGCCGCCCGCTGCTCCCCTCAGCAGTGTACTTCAGTCCTTCTGCCTGCTCTGCTCCCTGCTCTGGCTCTGGTGAATTCTCTCACCCTCCCGCGCTTCTGACTGTACCCAGTGCTTGTATAAATTAAAAAAAAAAAAAAAAAAAGTCTAATCAGACTCTTTGCCGCCCTCAGCAAAGAGCTGTGTGTGTAATGAGTTGGAACTGGCCCATGGTGGGGACCTCATGTCATGTTAAAGGAAAGAGGGCACAGCAGCAAAACAGGAAACCAACATTTTTACTCAAAAGTGGATTTAATTCCATCCCAAGCAGCCATCGTGTTCTTTGTCCTTTGAGGTAGTAAACTTTAGTGTTTTGTATTTTTTTAGAGATTTATGTATTTATGCATAGAAGAGCTGGGGCTTAGGCCAGAGGTATGGAGGTGAGAGAATTCACCAGACAGATTGGGGAGCAGAACAGGATGATCTACTGAAATACACTTCTGAGGGGAGCAGTGGGCAAGACAGGAGAGTCTGCTGGGCCATGTGGGTCACCTCCCTGGTGGGGGAGCAAACTCATGCTGCAGTGGCTGGTGACAGCTTAATAGCGCTGCGACTTTAACCTCTTTGCCACCAGGGAGGCCCAGGTTTAGTGTTTTAAAAGAGAAAGGAGGAAACATTAGCAGTATAAAAAGTGGGAAGTGTGTGTTGTGCAGTGATCTGAAACTCTGAAAGTTGTTTATATGTGGCATCAAAGAGAGTCACTTCAGTTTTAATTAATAAACAGAAACTGTTTAGGGGCATCTTGGGACCCCGCTCAGGTGCTTGGTACTGAGCCACCCTCTGGGGGACCAGCTGCCTGAACAGAGCTGCATGGAGAGGAGTCTTTCTGGGCTCCAGCACTGCCTCAATGTGTTCAAGGAAAGACGGG